GGGAGAACCAGGGGGGAACTAAAGGAGAACCAGGGGAGAACTAAAGGTGAACCAGGGGAGAACTAAAGGAGAACCAGGGGAGAACCAGGGGGGAACTAAAGGAGAACCAGGGGAGAACACGAGAAGAACCAAAGGGGAACAAGAGGAGAACCAAAGGGGAACAAGAGGAGAACCAAAGGGGAACAAGAGGAGAACCAAAGGGGAACAAGAGGAGAACCAAAGGGGAACCAGGGGAGAACCAAAGGAGAACCAGGGGAGAACCAAAGGAGAACCAGGGGGGAACTAAAGGAGAACCAGGGGGGAACTAAAGGAGAACCAGGGGAGCTCATGGCAGTCTGTCAGAGAACCATCAGATCAGGTTCCTGTACGGAATTCTGTTCTGGATGCAGTTAACCCTTTGCTGTCTCTGAATGTCGGGACGTTCCTTACGTCATGGAGACGCCGCTCTGTCTCCGACTCACCGCAGCGTCTTCCTATGCATGTCCTCCTCCGTGATGCCGTAGTAGGTGAGCGTCTCATTCCAGACCGGATTCAGGGAGTTCCGTATCGTCTTCGTCTTCAGCTTGTTGGCCTGAAACGCAGAGACAATCAGAGACAATCAGAGACAATCTGAGACACTTGTCCCTCATTCAGGAACAAATTCGCTCTGAAATCTTTCATTCAGGATCAAACTCCTCATCATCCATCTTCCTCCTGTCTCTGATCGTCTCTCAGGTAGGAACTCCTTCTCCTCCAGACTGATGAAGGAGTCTAGATCCATCAGTCAGCTTGTAGTTCCTCCCTAAATGACCTCATCTGTTCCTTAGAAGCAATCATCCATTCTATCAGGCTGCATCGTTCTATATTCTGCAGCTCTACAGTTCTAGATGCTAGAACTCTGGGTCCCTCCCCCTGCAGCTGGCAGCTGGACTGAGATGTTCTGGCTGCAGATGGAGCCTCAGCAGGAGTCCAGTCTGCAGACCTTCAGAGCTGCAGCCAGAGGAGGTTCTACAGAGTTCAGACTCAGGAGATCCAGAAATGCTCTCCACACTTTTCAATCACTGACATCATAACCACAGACGGCGGCCACATAGAACCATCAGAACCCGTGGACTGGGACCCACTCACCTTACTGGCTCCTGGTAGCAGGTGCAGCTTCACGTAGGGATCGGCTAGTCCGTTGAAGTCCATCGGCTTTAGACCCTGAAACAACAAAACGGCAACCGGGTCAGTGGGAGCAACGTTCTGACA